TCTCTCTCTCTCTCTCTCTCTCTCTCTCTCTCTCTCTCTCTCTCTCCAGTCATTGTGGTCGTTGCATGTGAGGAGTACTGAAAGACTCAACGATTGACATTTCCGAAAGACCATAGCATATCGTGCAGCAGGAGAAAATGACGGGAAGAAATGGCGAAAACCGACGGCATGAGCCAAAAATTTTAATTTTTTCCCCCAACACAGAACGTAACGTTCTACGAAAGCTGAACACATTTTCAACACGTTTCAACAAGTTTTCAACACGTTTCAACAAGTTTTCAACATGTTTCAACACGTTCTCAACACGTTTCGACAAGTTCTTCACAAGTCTTCAACAAGCTTTCAACAAGTTGTCAACAAATGGTCAACATATGGACCAACATCCTTTCAACAAATGGACCAACAAATGGACACACCGGTTTCAGTTTTCCTAATGTTTGGTCAGCATTGGTTTCCTTCACTTCTGGTGGAACACTTGACCCCCCTCCCCCACCAAACAGTTTATAAACACAGTTCCAACAGTTGAAATATAGTGTCCACATGTGATCATCCTGTCAGAAAATTTGCCACAATTTTTCTGTTGCCGCAGAGCAGTCTGTAATAGTCAACAGCAGTATGCAGCAATAGGCAGCAATACACAGCAGCCAGCAGTTCATGCACGGTTGCAGCAGCCACCAGCAGCAGTTCGTGCACAGATGCAGCAACCAACAGCAAACAACAGCAGTTCCAACAGTGAGGTTCGAGCATACTACATAGCCCAATTAAGTCCGCCGCATCCGTTCACTCAAGTGGTTGCCAATAGCAATGCTCTCACCGGTTCGAACGCTAATGACCCCGCAATGGTGGTCAAGTAAACCCGCTTGGACCACCTTCAGCCAACTGCAGAGCCGGCCTGTCCGACGAACTCTCAATCTCCAGCACCACCTCTCTGCATATCACTCTTTTGTCCTCAACTAGCCCTGTAGCAGCCACAACACCGCCCTCCAGAAAACCCAACCTCAGCAGCAGGAGCATCGGCAATCAGCAGTAGTTGCTCCCCTTCCAGAAGTTACTCCGATCAACAGCAAAAGTCGTGCCTGCAAATGCCAATCCTTCTTTGGTTACCTCATCTAGCATGGTGGACTGTGCACTGGCCGATAGGTCAGCCTCCAAAGCCCTATGGCTATCTCTTCATTAATTCGCTATTTCAATAGTCGGGAACAGGCGGCCCACCGATCCATAGGTGAGTTTCCCCACTCCCGCAGCCTACCTTTCAGCTCTGCCTTTCCGTTCAACTTCCCCAACCAACAGTCAGATCCCCCTTTTGCACCGCCGTGCTCGGCCTCTTAGGTATGTACTCCCTCGCCCCCTTCTATTCCTTGTCATTTTCTACCTCCGCCGTTGCTCCCTAAGTGGGTCGAGCAACGCGCAACTGCAACCCTTTTTTCTGACAGGAGCAAGCCCCTATCCCTTTCTCTTCCTGGCTACTCCCTCTACTTCTGCATGTTCGATCCTCGATGTCCCCACAACTTTATCCAACCGCCGGTAGGTAGGCGCCCGCTACCTCCACCACTGCCATCCGTTTGTAGTGCGTAATCTTGATTCGCATGGCCATACCTGACCACCCTCCTGACCAGTTCCCTAGAACATCACAAGGTACACCGTCAGTTCACCCTCACGCGCGCAGAAAGATAGCACAAGGCTATTTTCAAAGCAACGCACCGGTCAACAGGTGAGCATCCCAAACCCCAAGACCGCTCTCATGCTGCTCCCGTCACTAGAATGAGCAAATCGAATGAACCTTTCGCTAGAGCGTGGACATATATACCGCTGTCCAGCCATACGCGCAGGGAGTTAGAGAGGAGTTTTTTCCATCGATAGGTTGGGCGGCGCCTTGGCACACAGGTGAGTCTTCGACACACGCCGGCCTCCCGCTACTTCCAGTGATATAACGAGCAAAATCGAATGCATCTATCGCTGGAGTACGATCCAATAAATTCAGCCCCACCTCAAGGTAAGTACTCCCCTACTCCCACGCAGCCCCTTTCCTTTCTAACTCTCATCCTACTAACCTACCCCTCAAACTACTACTACCAAGCAGCTCGCCCGGGTTGAAAACCCTGGGTTCGGCTTTTGGCTTGCTCGATATCCCTCAGAAACAGGCGGGACGAGCTCCTTCCTCCTCTTTTCTTCCGGCCGCCATACCTTTGCGTGACCCTTCTCTTCTCTAACTCCCGAACCACTAACCTTCTGCTAGTACTGACCCCGAATTCGTGCTCGCCCAACATAAAACCCTCGGGGTCGTGCTCCTCCCCGCTCGATACCATCGAATATCGAGCGGGCTTTCACGTCATAACTCCCCACTCGCCCCCGCCGGCTTCTTCCATAGCCACCGCGCACTAACCTCGCTATCTAACTCCCCCCACACTGCTCCGTTCCAAAAACGGACACGACTACTACGTTCGCCTGGTCCGTAAACCCCTGACTAGCACTTTCGCCCGTCCGATTTCGTTAAGAAATGGGCGATCTTCACTGTCTTCAGCTTCGCCATAGCTCCTCCCCTCTCTCTCTCACGTCGAATGCATTTGGCGCCAATTCACGCCAGGTTCTTTTTCCATTCTGTTGCTCGCCCCTCGCTCTTTCGTTGCGCTAAGCCGCCCGGTCAGCCTTACTGCCCGTCACTCTACCGCGCTAGCCCCCACCGTTTCTTTCCAATGCTTCCTGTCTCTACGGCCTCCCACCTCGTTTCTTCGAGACACAGACTCGACAGTAGCGGACCCTGTCGTAGCGGCCGACCGGTTGTTCCAACAGTTTTTGTGAGCAGCTCGGCCCCCGCCTCCTAGAGGTACACCGTTGGTCCCCCCCCCCCTCCATGAGGGGCCCTCAGCAGAGACCGCTGAAGTCCATAGGGGAGAGGGACCTGGAGGGGAGAAACATTGGCTGGCCTGTCAACGAGGCTCGGTCCTGATGTTACCGGCTGACCCCTGACCAGTATCACCCACCTGCTGCGGTATGTATCGCGCCCGCTGATGGGTGCAGCTCCCTCATATTCCCCCACAGGGG